GTTGTACATATCACCTTTGTTATGAATTATGACGAACTGTTTTTTTCACTCTTGTAGAGATAATGGGGGTCGCGACGACCAAAGCCCGGACGCGAGGGTCATCTGTTAAATCTGGCTGAGAAACACTGCCTTAAACCTAACGCATAAAATTTAAAATCTGTCGAATTGCTGTTTACATAAATGATTTTAAATAAACGTAAAAGTGTTTAATTTACATGATAAGCTCAAACATATCGTTATCAGCACGTATGTCTATGTTAAGTGGGGTAAAACACATTTCTTAAGAGCCTCCCAGTGGCACAACGGTATGTCTTCAGACTTACAATCCTAGAAACCGGGTTTCGATACCCGTGGTAGGCAGAGCACGGATAGCCTGTTGTGTAGCTTTGTGCTTAACTTCCAACAACATTTCTTGAAGGCTTTTCGAATTGAACACCAATCCGTTAGGTACATATTTTATTTTACTGTCATCTCGGTGCTTAAACTATCCGTAATCAGATAGCTTTTTTCGATGGTTTTTAAAACACATTAAATACATTACATTATTATCTGTAAACACGTTAGCCAAAATTTCACTTTAACAAAATCTCCATTGTATTGGTCAGCCATTTTCTCGCATGTTAAGTGGAAAAGGGATGCAAACTCGGATATCACGACAAAGCTATGGTTCTGCTATTTCAGTCAGATACTGTCGCTAGAGTATTATTTTGTGGAAACGTTTATTTTGTTGTTTTTTTTTAGGGGAAAATTATGTACACGTTCAGTAACTTCATTAGATTTAAAATAATCTCGGAGATGAAGAATAGCTCCCCAGTGGCACAGCTTTTTGTCTGCGAACTTACAACGCTAGAATCCGTGTTTCGATACCCGTGCTGAGAAGAGCACAGATAGCCCATTGTGTAGCTTTGTGCTTAATTACAAACGAACAAACAATGAAGAATAGCACATTTATTTACAGTTCTACAGCATGTTTATTAGTATCAAAAAGTTTCTAAACAAGTATAATCCATCATCAGTATAAAGACAAAAAAAATTGAGAAGTATAAAGATAAAATTTAGATGATGTATTTACAGTTTAATGGCACAAAAAATGTACAAAATTGCAATTCTGCTATTTAAGTATTAGCAAGAGAGAAAAATGTTAAAATATTGAACCAAAACAAAGTTGGTTTTTGTATTATTTAACAGATGGAGCTTTAAGCAATGGTTTCTTGATCAGAAAGGATGGTGATCATTGTATTGAAGCTATCGTCAGAGAAAATGATTGTGTGCGTGTTTCCATATTGCGAACAGGTTTCAGAGATACGAGGGTCAAAAGCTGCTTATCGGATTCGAAGGAAACCACCTTATGTTTATGATTTCTGACATTCGAGTGAAGTGTTTATTTGCCAATATTGGCAACCTGACAGCTATCACACATATATATACGCATAAATAATCAGGGGTTGACATAGAACGAGAAAAGGACTCGTCAAGTTAAATATTGTTACGTCTCCGTTTGTTAATTAACTTTCCGTAACTTCGTTCCG